GGGGGGGGGAGTTGTGCTCTCCCTAGCCATAAATGATCCCTCTCCCCCAGCATTTCTCATGCACGCGCTTTGCTGCGGTCCCGCGCTAGCTGTTTGATCAGTGGATCTTAAAACTGTCTCTTTGCCCCAGGTCCCTGGCACAGGCTGGTGGTTCAGAATGGATCCTCTCTTCCCTGCCCATATTTTGGAAGACCCTGACCTGAGAAAGCTGCTGAATGACTCCTCCATGCTGAACCTGAGCTTTCTCCCCAGTAACTGGTTCAACAACGGCACAGGGGACAGCTTTCTGCCACTGGGCATCAAGATCACCATCGTGGTTGTCTACTCCATCGTGTGCATCGTGGGGCTGGTGGGCAACTGCTCCGTCATGTATGTGATCGTCAGGTAGGACACACAGACAGCATGCCATGGAGGCTACTGAGAGGGGTGTGAGCGGGGCAGCCCTTCCCTTCCGAGTCTGCTCTGGCTGAAGCAGACAGGTGCTTCCCTGGTATTTGCTATGTGTTGTAGAGGTAAAGATGTGGCATTCATTTTATTGCTTTGGTTTTATTTGTTTTTCTCCCCTCCTAGGCATGATGAAGGCTCTCATCAGCTCTTTCAGCTGCCCTCTGGTGCCTCCTAAAGTTTAACCCAGAGAATGGAATAGAGCAATCGGATCTATTAAAAAAGCGGTGTTCTTTGCAGATTGTAAGGCATGGAGCTGGATGCCTCTGTGGAGGGCAAAGTACTAGGAGTGTTTAACTTCCAGAGTATGCCTGATCTTTAATGGCACATCTCCCTCCGGTGCAATGTCCAGCACAGAAGAGTGCACCCAGCCTGGGCTGCAGGTGCCGCTCCATTGGGAGTTGGCATTTTCTGAAGCAGAATCTAGTTCCCAGGGAAAGGGCTTGCTGGGTGGCTCCGTCTTACTTTTGCAGGGGAAAACTGTTAATGTAGCTAGAAAAACTTTTTTTGAAGTTATGGCTGTAAATAAAATATGACAGAATGTTGTGGGGATGAGGGTGGCTTGTCTGGCTGCAGGCAGGCTCCTTGCCCTGAGGCTGGGAGAGCAGAGACCTTTGCAGAGGGACAGAGCAAGGACCGTGTGCCAGTCCAGCAGCGCTGCCCAGCCTCCTGCATGCCAAGCCATGCTCCTGGCTTTTTAAGTGCCTATGTCTGGCTCTGCTATGGTTAAACCACCTTGTTTTCTGAAAGTGGAAACCTTTTTCTCTCCTTTAAGCACAAAATAAGTTTGTGTACATCAAGGCTGTGATCCTGTATCCAAAGCCAGCAACTCCCTTCTGATTTGTGTATCCTGGATGTTAAGAGCAAGCTTCCATTTTGTGTCTCAGAACAGGTTCCTGGTACAGGTAGATGCTGTCAGCCCAGAAAAGACTGAGTAGATTTGTTTTCTGCTCCAACAAAACGGATGAAAATATTTAGCAGATATTCAGACACTGAGATCAAGTCTAGCTCCTGCTGGGAATCTTGCTGGTTCCAAAGCATCTTTCCCATGAATGCGCACACTCAGCCAGGGGAGAGGCTGCACAACAAGGTCTGCAGTATCACAGGCCTGAACGGAGGCTACATCTTTCTGCAAGGGCAAAGAGACATTACAGTTTATCAGGCTGCCTGTCAGCGCTCTTCCTGCAGAGGAGTTTATGGCTGGGATCACAACAGCATGGGGGAGTTTGGGGACAAGGAGGGAGGAGGCTTATGGTGCAGCACTGCCAGGTTTGGATAGTCCTTGCCTTGATGTTGCTTGGCATAGTAGCATTTGTTTGGGTAGGCATGGTGTTTGTGTGCATGTAAGACAGACTTTTGTCTGCACCAGCCCTGTGTCCCCCCTGGCCCCCACACTGTGCCGGGGGCTGGAGCATCCCCAAGAGCAGCCTGTGCCCTAGGAGCAGAAGCAGTGCTGGAGGATCCCCTTGCTGCTGTTGCTGGGCTGTAAATCACTTCTGGGTGTGAATCTCTGCAAATGAAAGGTCTCTATCTCATGGCAATGTAACTCCCCAGGAAGGACTGACAGCTGGTGTGGAGCGAGGGGAAGGAGCCCTTGCACAGAGCATACACAAATCTTAAAGCATTTCGGAAGAAGCAGCCCTGGGAGAAACTTCAACCCCAACTGCAAAGATCTTGTGGGATATAAACAGCTGCTGTTTTGTCCCTGCAGAAGTGGGTCAGGCACTGGTTCATGTTCATGGGTGTCACTGCTGGCCCTGGGGAGAGCAGTTGCTCCTGCTGTCCAGTGCACAGGGCATGCACCAGGAGAAGGAGCCTGCAGGTCCCTGTTGGCCCCTGCCTGGAGCTGTGGCAAGTTTATTGCCAAGAATATGAGCTGTCTCGAACCAGCATCCCAGTCAGGTCAAGGTGGACATGCACATGGTGGTACGAGGCCACACTTTCAAAATAGCAGCTTTTCTTTTGTTCTTTTCTGACTCCCATCTTCCAGTTGGATAAATGGGACCCAAGAAAGGAAAGTGAGATTTAGCCCTGGAATAAGTGCCCTCACCGCGCTGCCCCCCCTCAACCTTTTTTCTTCCACTCCCTCCACTTAGTAACTGCCTATATTGTTAAAATATCTATAGGGTGTTTTGTATCACTTGTTTTTCTCCAAAACTTCTTCGTGAGCCTGGAGAGGCCATTTCAGTAACGTGTGCCGAGGAAAGTTATAACTCAGCAGCATATGTCTAAGGCTGCAATTTCGTATTGATTCTCCCCATCAGGATCTCCTGGCTGAGGCTGATACTGGGTAATGCTTGGGGAGCTAGCCCTTTGTGGGTCAGCAGGTGGCAGAAATTGGGGTCATCTCTCCAGAAGGTTTTTCCTCCTTGCCCAACTGTTCAGCTCAATATTCCAAACTCTTGACCCTGCTCACATAAACTTGTGCAGAGCTGTGCGGCCAAGTAAGTAGAGCTGTGAGGAGGATGCTCCTGGCCTAGTTGACTTCTCGAGAGCAGCTCTTCTCCCATGGCAGTGCTGGTGCTTCCTGGCTCTGTGTCTTAAACTATATCTTTTTAGCGTGTTGAAATTTGGGTGCTGGCAAGTTAACGTGGGATTTTAGGACTTCTTCTGAGGTCATAGCTCTTCCATTTATGGAAGAGAAACTAGTAAAACCAGAGTTACACCCCTATCTGTAGGCATGTTGCGTTGTACAAAAGCTGTGTTTCTTTTGGCGCTACCTGCAAGCAGCCTGCGTATTATCCTCCATAAAAAGAGCGGTGCTATGATGTAGGCAGTAATTGTTTCCTGGTTTCCCAGCTCACTGGGAAACAAAGACCACTATCGGCACTCAAGGAAATTGGAGGCTTCGGGAAGGCTTGTTGCCGGTTCATCTTGAACAAATTTCTTCTAGCACTGAGGGAAAAGTTGAAAATCCTCTTGGTATTTCAGACAAAAATAAATAATAATAAAAAAATCAAAGCTTCCTCTGGGTTTTCTCCTTTGTTGTAGAACCCAGCCTACATCTCTATTATATCTGGAGTGATTTAACATTTGGAATGATTAATTTATAGCTACAGCTGTCATGTGGCTGTCAATCCCCCTTCTAGCGCTGAGCAGCGCTAATTGGATGAGATGGCAAAGGGCTCTCGTTGCGAACGCTGTTTCCTGGACGGCGAAGGGCCTGTTGTGGGCAGGTGTCCATCAGCCGCTTCCGTCCCCTTGCTCCTCGGGCACGTTTCTCGTGGCTGAGCTCGTGCCTCCCTGCCCCTCTGCGTTTCCCCTACTGCTTTTAATGGGAAAGTTGAACGTCATGCGGCAGAGAGGGTATGGGGGGAGAAAACAGGCTGCCAAGGTGCTGATAATTGAATTCGGTGATGCAGGATGGCCAGAACCTCTGCCTTTTGGGGGAAAAAAGAGAAAGGGAGGGAGATGCTGGCAGTGTGGCAGGGAAGGGGGACCGGGGACGAGGTGTCCCCTGTTGTCCCCATCTCCATCCTCTGATGGCCGTAACGCTCGGCCGTGAGGAGGATGCGGTCCCTTGGCTCTGCTCTCCTTGCTTGGGCTCTCCCGGGGGGTCCGTGTGGGCCCTCTGGGTCCTGCCGCTCATCAGTGCAGCGGCTGCTCCCTTACCTCTGGGTCTTCTCTCCTCTACTAGTGCATTTTTCCAGTTTTCCGTCCTGCATGAAACCAGGTTTTTCTGGGAGCCCAGGGCACTCCACAAAGCACTGAGCTTTGTTCAATTCTCCGTATTGATTCACACAGTTTCAGAGTAGTTTAAGCAGCTGTCTAGGCAGATTAGAGCTGTCAGGCCCCCCTAGACTTTTATTTGTTGCTTTGAGATGGCTATGTACATTTAAAAAAAATTAAAAAGGCTCTTTCTGAAGCTTATTGGGCCATGGTGAGGATGTGCTTGCCGCATGGCAGGGCTCTGCATGGAGCAGCTCTGGGATTATGTCCGTCCTTCGCGCGGGGCTTTCCGGGGCTTTTGTTCGTGTTCGAGCCGCCTGTCGAGGGTGATGCGGGAAGCTCCTGCACGTGCCTGCTGTAGGAGAGCTGGTGAGGCCCTCCCAAGAGTGCTGCGGGGGGGGGGGGGGGG